AGGAAGGAAGGAAGGAAGGAAGGAAGGAAGGAAGGAAGGAAGGAAGGGGAAAGGCAGGAAGATACCAGTAGCACTTAGACTTATATACCGCTTCCCAGTGCTTTTACAGCCCTCTCTAAGCGGTTTACAGCCTCTCTCTTGCCCCTAACAATCGGGGTCCACATTTTACCCACTTCAGAAGGATGGAAGGCTGAGTCCACCTCGAGCCGGCCAGGATCAAACTTCCTGGCAGCGGGCACAGTCAGCCCGCCATGCTGCCTTCTGGCCGCTAATCACCAACAGGACTCTTCAGCTCAAACCCACCTACCCCCCACCCCCTGCCCCTCCCCGATATGGCTGGCCAGGTCCACCCCTCCCTCACCTGCTTGTACTGGCGGGTGGCCTCCAGATCCCGTTGCAGCCACTCCTGCTCTTCCTCATCCAGCTTATAGTCTTCCGGGACGACGTAGTTCATGGGCCGCTCGCCGCAGCACATTTCGCACCCAGGGCGGGACGGCTTGTTGATAAACGTGCAACTCGGACACTCCCAGCCGACCTAGGGAGCCACCCAGGCGGGTGGAGAGGGCCAGGCGGGAGAACAACAGAGGCAACCCACTTTAGAATAGCAGAACTTCGGAGGAAGACCTTGCAGGTCTTCTAGTAGAGTCCCCCAAACTTTCTGGGGTTTGGGGGTCTGGAGCAGGGAGGGGTGGGGGGGAGGAAAGAGAGGGTGGTTTTGTGGGAGGGGCAGGCGCGCGTGTGTGTATGTACATGCCCGTTGCTTGCACAAGTGGGGCTGAGGGCTCCCATGGGTATGGCCCAGTTGCCAATATTTATTTATCTTTATTTATTTACTTTTGTCAATTGCTTACAAGATAATAGGTATAAGTTAAAAAATAGTCACGAGTACATGGATACATAGAAGAAAAATAAAAGAAACAATAGGCACGATTGGTGCGCTTATGCACGCCCCCTACAGGCCTCTTAGGAAAGGGGTGAGGTCCATAGTAGACAGTCTAAGGTTAAAGTTTTGGAGGTTTGGGGAAGAAACCCCAGAGTCAGGTAGATGTTTCCCTAGGGAATGGCTGCTGGGTATCCCAAAGGTGCTTTTTTCAAGAGGCAACTAGACTTCCTTTGTTTTTCCCTGAAGACGTTTCGCTTCTCATCCGGGGGAGCTTCTTCAGTTCCGACTGAACGGTGGAGGATGGAAGGATTTATATTCCTTGCAGTCATCTGGTCGTTCGCGCTCTCTCGGAGAGCCCTTGAGGCCACTCGGAGGTTTATCACAGAATAACAAGGGTCAGAAGGGACCTTGGAGGCCATCTAGTCCAACCCCCTGCTCCACCAGCAGACCCTTACAGAAATACCCTAAAATCCGGAGGGAGTCAGCTTTAAACCGAGCTTCAAAATTCAAATTCCAAGCTTCGAAAAAACCCCAACTGACTTATTTCTGTACCCTCAGGTTCACCTGAATAGCACAGCAAATGGGCCCAGAGCCTTCTTGGACAGAGAGGAGGGCTGGTTTGAAAGATGGGTCAAGGAGGCCAATGTCAAGTATGAAACTTTGGCAGCTACGTGCCTCTTCGTTTCAATTTGCCATCAGAGTTAAGGGGTGGGAGGTGTTGTTTTAAGATCTTAGTCAAGACCTTGTTGATGATCCAAACTCTGTCAAGGACCTTGGAATACTACTCATCTCTAATGACCTAAGTGCTAGAGCCCAGTGCAACTACATAGCCAAAAAGGCATTAAGAGTTGTTAATCTAATCCTGCGTAGCTTCTTCTCTGGTAATATCACACTACTAACTAGACTAGAGCATACAAAACATTTGCTAGACCAATACTTGAATACAGCTCCTCAGTCTGGAACTCACATTATGTATCTGATATTAGCGCAGTTGAGAAAGTCCAGAAATATTTCACAAGAAGAGTTCTCCACTCCTCTACTCGTTGTAGAAGACCTTATGCCACCAGACTTGAAATTCTAGAACTGGAAAACCTTGAATTACGCCGTCTTCGGTCTGATCTAAGTATGGTATATAAAATCATCCATTGCAATGTCCTACCGGTCAATGAATACTTCAGCTTCAACCATAACAACACTGGAGCAAACAATAGATACAAACTCAAGATTAACCGCACCAAACTTGATTGCAGGAAATACGACTTCAGCAACAGAGTGGTCAATATCTGGAATACTCGACTCGACTCTGTAGTTTCTTCCCCAAACCCCCAAAACTTTAACCTTAGACTGTCTCCTATTGATCTCACCCCTTTCCTAAGAGGTCTGTAGGGGGCGTGCATAAGCGCACCAATGTGCCTACCGTCCCTGTCCTATTGTTTCTTTTATTTTTCTTATATGTACCCATTTCATGTACTCATAACTATATATACACTTATACTTATTATCTTGTAAACAATTTACAAATAAATAAATAAATAAATATGGGGAAATGAAAACTCCACAGTTCCGCTGAAGTCTGGGAGAGCCCGAAAGCTTTTCAAGGACATCAGAACAAGTGTGGAGTCGAAAGCAGACGGTTCCCATAACGAAGGGAACCGGTTTACATGGCCTATGTGAGAGGGTTGGGGGTTTGGCTGGGTAAAGTATTGCTTAAAATTCCATGAACTGGTGCCTGGGAACCTCAGAGTTGGTTGTGCTTCAATATTACTCTGTTTCCCCGAAGATGTCCTGAAAGTAAGCCCTAGGTTGATTTTTTTTTTACATATGCGCCCAAAATAAGCCCTAAGATCCCACCCACTCCAGAGTGGATGGGTGAAAATTAAGCTAGGGTGGGGATGGGGTGGGGGGGTGGAGCTGCCCAACTATTTACCTTTGGACAGTTGTAGCCAGGCCTTGCACACCCTGACACCTGCCTTGCCGGCCCATTTCTCCTGCAGCCAGAAAGGCTGGCCAGGCTTTCCTGAAGGCCTCTGGAGCTGAGAACAAAGCTCTGGATCGATCCTGAGCTCAGTTATCACCTGCAGAGGCCTTCAGGAAAGCCTTGCTGGCCACAGAAGAAGAAGTTCCTGAAGGCCTCTGAGAGCAAAAAGGAGGCCGGGGGGCAATGCACGCAAGAGAGATTAATCAGTGGACGACATACCCTGAAAATAAGCCCTGGTGCCTTTCGGGGTGGCAAAATAATTATGATGAAGGAGAAGGAGGAGGAGGAGGAGAAGAAGAAAAAGAAGAAAGAGAAGAAGAAGGAGAAGGAGAAGGAGAAGAAGAAGAAGAAGAAGAAGAGGAGGAGGAGGAGGAGGAGGAGGAGGAGGAGGAGGAGGAGAAAGAGGAAGAGGAAGAAGAAGACAGGGTCTTATTTTCAGGGAAACACAGTACCACGCAGGCTATTCAATAAACAGCAAGATTTTCAAAAACGGAACCAGGAGTTTAATTTGTATTCTCAAGTTGGATGTTGATAGGCCATCTATGTCAAAATTGAACACCCCTCCCTCAACGGGGGGGGGGGGGAATATGACCCCACTAATCTCTTGTTTATACCACCGTCCTCTCAGCAGTTCCGAGAAGGCTCCACACCCGCTTGCATTATTCAGGAGACCCTGAAGACACAGATGAACCTCCAGGCGGCCTCAAGGACCCCTCTAAAAAGGATGCAAATGACCAGCTGTCTGCAAGGAGTACAAAACCTTCCATCCTCCCAACTGTTCGGTCAAAGCTGAGGAAGCTTCTCAGATGAGAAGCGAAACCTCTTCGAGGAAAAACAAAGAAAGTCCAGTTGCCTCTTGAAAAAGCTCCTTTGGGACAACTACGATTGGAGGACGGAGAAGCGCCATAGATATTTGGCCCTTGCGTCGATCTCTCACCCCCTTCATCTCTACACCGCCCACTTTCTCGGAAGTCTCCTACCTTCGGGGCCTCCACCGGGAGCGTCGTCAGTCCAGGGCCGCTACCCTCTTCGTGTGTGTCCAAGATCAGGGAGGGCTCCGTTGGCGTCGAGATGCCCGAAGAACCCGAGTCCCCAGTTCCCCGAGGTACCAGGACTCCTTCCGTAATGCCTAACTCTGGCGACAACACAAAATGGAAGAAAGGAGAAAGATGTCACTGGGCGGGTTTAGAGGATTTAAAATGTCACGGTGCCTCACCGTTTCAAAAAGTACAGATGAAGGAGGTCCTCGAATTACAACCGTTCATTTAAGTTCATTTGAGTGGTGTGGCGGCCTAGAGGTAGAACTCTCGCCCCGCAATCAGGAGGCTGCGAGTTCAATCCTAGGTAGAGGCAGATATTTCCCTTTCTCTGGACACGTTGAGAATATAGCTGCTGAATGAAACTCCACACTGGTGACAGGAAGGGCATCCAGCCAGTAAAACGCTCTGCTAGCTCCATTCAGTTGCCCAGACTCCACCCTGATGCAAGGAATTATGGGGTCATTAAAAGAGGACGATTTAGTGACCGAAGTTCATGGCACTGGAAAAGATGGCTTACGGACCGTTTTTCACCTACAACCTTTCCGACATTCCCGCGGACACCCGATCCAAAAATTCAGACCGCTTGGCAACTGTCCTGCATTTATGACGGTTGCAGCGGTCCTGTTTTGTGACCTTCTGACAACATCAATGGGGGAAGCCAGATAATACAATCAATGTCCAACAAATCCACCCCACCATTCAAATCGTAAGTCTCTAGCCACATCTCTCAGAGAAAATAAAATTGATTTGTTAGAAGTGGCCATTGGTGTTAGCTGGATGCAGCCGACACTAAAATACATCAATCATTTCCCCTTGGACCCTGGCCTTCCCCCAACCCCCTGGATGTATATTCTCCAATGGGACACATCCATAGCCAAGAGTCATCAATCATGCTCTCCAGTAATAATCTTGTGTGCCAACAGCTTCGGCTGCCTAGCAATTATCTGAAGCATTTCAGGAATGCGCTGTCTTCCCGCATTCCCTTTTTCTGGCAGCTAAAAAGACCAAAGGAGTATTTTATTTTTATTTTTTAATTGACAACCAGGTTACTACCAGTAACTTAATAACTACAATCATTCACTTAACGAATGTGGCATGAAAAGTCGTAAAACTGGGGCAAACCTCACGGAACACAACGTCTCCCTTAGCCACATCAATTCTGGGCTCCATTGCGGTTGTTAAGTAGGGGGCTACCTGTCTAGATGGTCCTTGAATGACCCCCGGCCACCCTTTCCGGTGCCACTTCGGACCAGCTCACCTTCCAGCTGCCTGCGTTCGTGGTTCAACTCCACCGTTTCTTTGTCCAGCTTCTTGGCCTTGGCGGACATCAAATAGAGGTAGGCCTGGTCTCCGTCCCTCTGGATACCTTGGTAGTGGAGGGTCTCGTGGTCCTGTGGAAGCCTCCGTCCGACCACCCACTTCTGGATGCTGGGTGGGAAACCATAATGGAGGTGCATCTGTTCAGCAGACAAAAGGCAGCTGTCAGGAACCTTCTAGAACAGAATAGAATGACATGGGAAGGGACCTCGGAGGTCTTCTAGTCCAGCCCCGTGCTGTGATGACCCAAAGGGGCAAACAAAGTCACAAAAATAGGTCAAGTCCCTTGAATGCCTCCAACTTGGCCCTCAATGTCCAGTTCTCATCGGCTGGAGAGAAAAAAAAATCTCCCAAAAACAGTTTTCAAAGGGAAGAAATTCCATCCGAGCTCAACGTGCATATAAATTATAAATAAAAACCAACACAAACCACAAAGCTGCAGCAATTAACGAGACAGGGCAGGATAAGGGATCGAAGACGTCAAAAGATAATGAAACACACACACTTGGGGAGGGCGCCAGAGAAGACTTGGACAAACCAGAATAATTTCATGCTTTGCTCCCAGCAACTTTGCCGTGCGCAGTTTGCCATTTTAAACAGTCTTCTCAGCTGCAGCCCATGAAGGGGATCAGGGCCCTTTCCTCCCCCGTAGACCACACAACTCACATTGCTCCCTTCTCCGTTTCTCCTTGCGTGCCCTAGGATGGAGAGGGGATGGGCCTGGGTCTTTCTCTGAACGCCCAGCTGGCCTGTGCCCTTCCCCAGTTTCCTCCACAGCCACCGGAGCCACACACCCCACTCCCTGTCGGCTGTTCCGCCTCTCCCTCGGAGTCAGATTCCAACCGGGGCACGACACCCGCTCAAGCAGGAGAACCGATACCATCTCAGATAAGTGACCGTCTAAGCCTCTTCTTAAAAGCCTCCAGGGATGGACCAAAAGATGCTTTATTTTTCTTTTTTTCCCCAAGAGACAACTGGACTTTCTGGTTTTTCTCTAAAGACGTTTCGCTTCTCATCACGGAAGCTTCTTCCGCTCTGACTTGGATGGAAGGGGATACGGAAGGAGTTCGTTCAGTCAGCGCCGATGAAGCTTCCGGGACGAGAAGCGAAACGCCTTCAAAGAAAAAAACCAGAAAGTCCAGCTGCCTCTTGGGAAAAAAAAAAAGAAAATAAAAGCAACTTTGGAACAATCATGACTTGGATGACTGAGAATCTCCACAGACGCCTCGAGTGTTGGAGCACCCACAAGCTTCTGGTGGCTGTTGGTTAATCGTCCTCACTGTTAGGAAGTTTCTCCTTAATTCCAGATTGCTTCTCTTCTTATTTTCCATCCGTTGTTTCTTGTTCTGCCTTCAGGTACTTTTGAGAATAAATTGACCCTCTCCTCTTTAGGGCAGCCTCTGAAAGACTGGAATCCTGCTCTCGTGTCACCCCTAATTCTTATTTTTCCCCTTTAAACTAGCCAAACCCAAATCCTGCAGCCGTTCTTCCTACGTTTTAATCCTCAGGCCTTTGATCCTCTTAGTTGCTCTTCTCTGCACTTTTCCCAAAGTCTCAACCTCTTTATTTATTGTACTATAGTGACCAAAATCAGTTACCGTACTCCAGGTGTCACTAAGGATTTGTAAAGCGGTACTGATACTTCGTGCGATTTGGATTCTATGCCTCTGTTTATGCAAACCTTGGACTGTATTAACTTTTTTCGGCTGGCTCATGTTTACGTGGCCCGTTAGGATTCCTCTTTCGGAGTTCCTCCATCATTGCCATGGCAAAAAACCTGGATTGAAAACCCTGACTCCTCTTGAAAATGGACAGGATGCGGAATACCACGATGACATCTTCCTAGTAGGAGAGAGCTGGAAGGGACCTTGGAGGTCTTCTAGTCCAGTCAAGCAGGAGAACCTCTACAGATTTAGATAAGTGACTGTCTAGACTTTTCTTAAGAACATCCAGTAATGGAGCACCCACCAATTTCTGGACGCAAGCTGTCCCACTGGTTAACTGTCCTCAGGAAGCTTCTCCTAAATTCCAGGTGGCCGGAGTCCTTCAAGATCACCCAACTTTCCCCCCAAATCTGCCTAGACAGGATCTCTTGACGGTTCATACCATGTCTTTGAGGGAAGCCATAGTCATGGAAGGCTGGACCTTCAGAAAGATAGGAGTGGTGACCATCTGGGCATCTTCCACGCCCACCCAGATCCTAGAAGAAAGGAGAGGCGTCATGAGAAGTTTCCCTCACCAGGTCTGACTCCAAAACTCAACCCTTCTTCTTCTCCACGGTTCTCTTAACCTCTGACTTATTCATACTACCCAAGGTCAGAGGTCATCATTGTTGCGGCCCGCCAGCAGCCAATAGAGGTGGCAGGAGACTCGGACAGTGAGGAGGCCGGGGAGGAACATGGGCCAGTCCTGGAGTCTGGGGAAGGCTCGGACGAGGGCTCTGTGTCAGAGGCAGAGATGCAGCCAGGGCCCTCTGACAATTATCAGCTGCCTTCGGAGTCAGAGATCAGTGAGGAAGAAGAACAGCTGGAGCCTGTTCCCAGTGTGCTCATGCACAGAGCTGCCAGATGAAGGGAACAGCTAAGGAACAAGGGTCGACTCGGGAGTAAAGGCTCAGGTGGACAGTGAATAACCCCTCCCCTAGGGAATAAAAGAAGAGCGAAAGGGAAGTGGAGTTTTCAGGAGACAATTAGTTCAATTCACTAGGGTGAAGATCAGGGCCTGACTTCTTGCCAAGTCATTGTTGCTACAGTGTGGCGTTTGGAAGCTATCGGCCTGGCAACTCTCCCAGCCTGATCAAGGTCTGGAGTTGTGAAATCTCATGGAAGACTATTTGCCGGGATTTTGCTGGAGTGGAATTCCCTTGAACCTAAATAAAAAAGGGTTTTATCGGGACAAGGAGTCGGTTTCATGTTCTTGGAAGACTTGCAGCCCGAAACTGAGTCATGATGTCCAGGACATCTTAAGAGAATACTAATCCAGACATTGGATTTAAAACCAGTAAATATTTTTGTTGGGGATTTTGCCCGAAACTGACCGTCAAGGAAATGCATATTTAATTATACATTAACTGCAGCTAGAATTGCATTTGCACAAAATTGGGAAAGTGATGAGATCCCTACAGATGAGAATGTGATTAGCAAAATATTAGAATGTGCGGAAACGAACAGATCAACGCGTGCTATAAAGGAGAAAGGACAAACGGAATATTATGTGACATGGGAGCTATTTTATAGATGGTGGGAGAATAAAAATAGAAGGGAGAAATGAATGGAGATTAGTGAAATAAAGAATATATGTTAAGATAGAGACGTAAACATTATGATTATTAATATGATTGTTAAGATTATACCTAATATATTTTCATTAGAAGATATGTTAGGAGGGAGAAATAAATCTATCTTTTTCTTTCTTCTATATATATATAAAAATGAAATACCCCTCATGCATCATCACAAAATTTCCAGAAATGTAAAGCCTATAAACTTGAAATTTGGCTCGTACGTACCTCTTGGCTTCTAGATGCTAAGAAAGGATTTTTCCAAATGATCATCAGAGCATTTAGAGCATTTCCTATATTATTATTATTATTATTAACATGCTCTGATGCTAAGGAGTTCTACTCCCCCTCCCCACCTGGAAAGAAATCTCTTCCAAATGCAAAACACAAGCAGAGGAGTTTCAGTTTCACAGCAGCACCAAGCAGCTTTAGTACAGAACAGTTGAGCTAAGCCACGCCCAGGCTCCTTGCTGTCTCCTTCTTGCTCACCCAGCAAATACTGTTTCAGTTTCCAAACAGCCCTCAACTCTCTCACACACTGACAGGACGCTAGCCAGATGAATCCCGATGGATGCTGGTAGGCAGAGGAACAAAAAATTTTCCCCTTATTTTCCTCCCCAAAAACTAAGTCCGACAACCTAGTTTCGTAGCGAAGCACGGGTATCCAGCTGGCCGAGTTATAATGCTGATTATTTATATTGCAAAGTTAGAAAATTATCATCAATGTAACGAATATCATAAATTTTGATTGTAAAAGCACAGAGACGTTTGCGCCCAGACGACATGCTGTTTAATGGAAGATGATACGCTCAAGTTTTAAAAAAATCTAAAAAAACTTACCAGAAATAATATAGTGTATATATAGAGCAACACTGCATAGTGCGGTGTTGGTGCGGTGTCGGGGGGGCTTTCGGTTCAAAGTGTGGAGTGTGAAGGATGTGTGTTTGTGTTTATTTTCACGGCCATGTTGTGCACTGAAAATGGTGTTTGATTTCGTTGTATGAGGTTCAAGGACAGTAAAATAAGGTAAATAAACAAAAAAAGAGAATATGAATTCAGAAATCAGGACCTCACCATGTCAGGTGATACAAAGATGAAGCCATTTTAAAGTCAAATTTGGCTCCTGATGGACGCATCGCGTATACAGGTAGTCCTCAACTTATGGCCACAATTGAGGCCCAAGCCTCCCTTGTTAAGCAAGACAGCTGCGAAGTGAGTTTTGCCCCATTTTACGACCTCTCCCGCCACACTTGCAAACGGAAGCACTGCCGTTGATAACTTAGTAAGGCGGTCGTTAAGCGAATCGGGGGGATTCCCTATTGACTTTGATCTGGGGGTCACAAAGAGAGGATCTCATGAGCTTGGGACACGGCCACAGTCATAATTATGAGTCGGTGTCTGAATTTGGATCACGTGACTACAGGAACGCTGCAACCGTCGTTAAGTGTGAAAAGCGGTCACAAAGTCGCTTTTTTTTTCCAGCACCGGTTCCATCGGTCACTAAAAGAAAGGGTTGTTAAATTGAGGACTGCCTGGATAGAATAATAAAGCAACATTCCTGGAATCCTTACCAAGTTTCTCGGCCTGGCCTACCTAGAAGGGCTGGTAGTCACAAAGTAAAAATTTTTGGTTTCTTGCCTCAAAACGACGGGAAGCCCAACACTGAGGGTGCCACAGAGGCTTTAGAAGGCACAGACTGGATTTCCCGTCCTCTCCCCGGTTTTCAAATTTTATAGGGCCTTCTAGGCCAACTTTTGGACCTCAGGGACCACTAAAATCATTTTAAATCCCGCGGACCAGAGACCCTGGGAAAATCCCCCCAAAATGTCTGCAGGAAAATCCCCAACCCCGTTTTCCTACCGATCGATCGTTCTTTATTTGGGATCGCAGGATATTGTCTCCAGCTCCGTTCTCAGAGGGAGAGAGAGAGAGAGAAAGAAAGGAGAGACTTTTGGCTTCATGCAAGGAAAGCAGCAGAAGCCGCAGAAGTCTTTCTTTCTCTCCCTCAAACTCTGCCAGAAAGGAGTCTTTTTTGCCGGCGCAGCCTCTTGGAGCAGGAGGCCTTGCAGGGTCCCAAAGGCTCATTTCTGGCGGAGTTTGGGGGAGAGAAAGAGAGACTTTGGCTGCTTTCCTTGCGTGCAGCCAAAACCAGAAGAAGAAAGAAGCGGAAAGAAGCAGCCCAGTGGCCAGGCCAGGCGTGTGGGGCATGTGGGGCAAGTTCCCCCCGCTCTGCCCTTTCCCCCCTCCCCTCCCTCCCTCGTGTTGTTCGCAATGCAAGCGACGTAAGCCTTGTGTTCCCACGGGCCACGTGGGCGGCGCAGCCTTTGTGTTCCCGCGCAGCCTGGATTAATTGCTTTGGGAGGGAAAACATTTCTCTGCAGGCCACCAAAATTTTCTCGCAGACCACCAGTGGTCCCTGGCCCACAGGTTGGCACCCCCTGTTCTAGGAGAATCCAGCTGTCTTAAGATTCGCATTCGGGACCGCATCGCCTCCCCTGGCATCACCTAATGTCGTGCTCCGGATAGGCGTCTCGTTCCAGCTGCACCTTGACAGGGACGCGCCGTTCGGCTAACCAGACGGCGCAACGCTGGGCGACCTCTTCCTCCCCGTCTCGGATCGCCTCCGCCAGCCGCAGGGCTTGCTGCTCAGCTGAGGAAGAGAGCAGGAGGAGACAATTGGGCTATGGAACTCCTCGCCACAGGACGCTGCTCTGCCCCCTGGGAGGCATTTCCCCAGGGCAGGGGCGGATCTCAGCGTCTCAAGCTCCGTTAAGGCAAGTGCCAATCCTGAGGTCTCCCTGCCCGTTCGGTGTTGGGGAGGGAAAGGCAGTTTTGGGGAGAGGGCTAGGGGACTGTGGCTCTGGACCTCCCCCTGGCATGGAAGCTGATGGGTGACTTTGGATCAAAAGAACCGGGAGATGGGGAGATCTAGTTGGAGGGAGGGAGGGAGGGAGGAAAAGAGAGAGGGACGGAGGGAGGGAGGGAGGGAG